ATCTTTAAAATACATTAGAGGACTATCTTAAAGAAATCTGTTTAAATAATGACAGAAGTAAATTAACGAATACAAACATATTTTTTAAGGTCGCCAATATTTTTAAAGGCCGCTAAATATAAAGGAATTGTTACAGAATAGACCCCAATGTCAGTCATGTCGCTTTGTGTAGACTGTAGACAATCAAAATGCATTTTGTCCCAGGGCGACAATCTAGATGCAGTTTGTCCAACAATGTTTTCAAGTTTTTTTGAGGTATAATCAATGCTAGATTTTTCGCATATAGGTATAATACAAGGTTTTTTATCCATTTTTTTGAGTATATCAATTTTTCGGTTAATTTATTGCTAAACGCGGAGCAGTTTTTCTTTATTTTCCAAAATTACAAAATGCATCTAGAAAGTCTGCTCCTCAAATGTAATAATTCCCAGCAAATGTACAGAATAGGTAAAACTATGTTTTCTATGGAAAGCAGAAACAATAATCAATTTTGACTCATGGAGCTCCTTAATATATTTTGATAACGATCGTTCTGCCAATGCAACTGTCACAGGGACTTGTAAGATAGAAAAAATAGTATAATTATTTCGGTAAAGCTTACTACTAAATGAATATTTGTCAACCATAATAATTTTAACCAAATCTTTTACTGATTTAATATTTTTAAGTTCATCACTAAAATATTTTCGTAATGCTAATAATAATTGATTGGAAAGTATCTGAAATATCTCTCTTTCATACATTTCACGAATATTTTCCGCCACTTGTATCAGTAGAATTTAACAGAACTTATGTATCGAAAATATAGAAGTTAGTAGCTATTTGATGTGAACTGGTTATTCTACTTTGTAACTGGCTGATAATAATATACAGGGTCTCATGAAGAACTTTAACTACAAAAATGTTTTCAGCAGTTTCAAAAACAAAGTGATTTGCAACTTCATCACAGTAACATTTGCAAATTTGGTTTTTGGAAAAATTCTGAAACTATACCGAATTAACTCGTAATATTAGCCTTTTTTGTGTATTTAAATTGTAAATTGTACATATTATATCATTTGAAACCTTTTTGAAAAGTTTACTAAATTTTTGTTCATTTTTTATTGTATTTTTTTGTAATTTTATTGTATTTGTATTTTTATTGTCTACTAATAAATGAATACTGTTTATTTCAAAACAAGTACATTAATTAGTAGGTACTAATTTAATTTATATTATTACGTTTCTGCTTCATTTATATTAACTGCTATAAATAAACCTAAATATTATAGCTAATTCAGATGATAATAAATTATAATCAAACAACAAAAATATATATCAACATTTATTATAAAAAAATCAGTCTTTGTTTAAACAACTCCAGAAGAATATTTAAATACGCCCGTTAACATTCAAAAATACTCCAGCATCGGGTTTTCCAGTACCACCAGGACCTCCGAAATGCCTTTCGTACTGTCCACTTACATCCACATTCAAATTCTTGTCCTGCACGAGATTATATTTAACTCCAGCGTTGACGTCTGTTCCTAAGCCTCTGGTTCTATCGGCTCCTACAAACGCTGTCGATCCACTAGGTTTGTTGGAAAATTCCAATCGGCCACCGACTACATCGGGTTCCAACCCGTGTGAATGCCACCCTTTGGACGCGCTTACGGTGCCATCTAGCACGTTCCTACCGTTGTCATAGATGTTGCCCGTGTGGCTGGCTCCGTAACCGTCTTGGTTTAGGCCCCATTTTGTGCTAAAACAAAAAATAATATTATGTTCTAAGATTTCATATTTTGTTGAAAGTTGAAACTAAAATTATTCAAATGTTTTTTGATATACTCTGCATAATATAAATTAAATTATCTTACTTTAGTTCATTGAATTGTTTTTCTTCCAAGAAAGCTATGTCTACTGGTACAGCTGTTGAGTAGGCAACGAAACTGATGATAACAATGAAACACTTCATTTTAAATATTTTTTTCTAATTACTTAATAGTCATAGATAACGGTAAAATGTTAACTGAAGATGTAGCTGGCAACTGCGGGTCTTCCCCTTTTCTTGATAAATCGTGAGGTCAGATTCGGTTAAATTATTTAATAAAAAACAGTATTTATTGTTTCATCTTGCCAAGGAAACGGGACATCACCGAAGGTTCTGAAACTGTATTTTTTAGATTGTTAATTACGTCTTTCATTGTAACTTTATTTAATCTAAATACAGGGTTACCCAAAATAAATGAATCATAATAAAATATACTCTTATTTTTTATAATACAGGGTTACCCAAAATGAATGAATCACAATAAAATACACTCTTTGTTTTTATAATACAGGGTTACCCAAAATGAACGAATCACAATAAAATACACTCTTATTTTTTATGAACGATTAAAATAGTTTTGTTAGGCGCTTGAAAAATATTTGCAGTACTATCTTCAAATTGAATTTTCCCTGAAATGATGCATTTCAACGACATGCAAGTATTCTTTAAAAACAAAATTGATTGCTTTTTCAAAATTATTATTCATGTTTTAAAAATGTCTATTTTTAGAAAAATCTGAAGTAATACTATATTGGCACGCCAGTTTAGAACGCCCTGTAGATGTAATGTAACAAACAAGCTGGTGATCGTTTGCATCATCCAAAAACATTTACTTTCACACAATTTGGGTATATTTACTCAAAAAATATTAAATTATAGTAAAAATTTTAAAAAATATATATTTTCTCCGCCCTGTAGAATCTTAAAAATTTTGATGATGTATGTATTCATCATTAAACTTTTAGTTGAACTATTATAATTATTTTATTTTACTTGTTATTCTCTATCTTCAGAAAGGACCTAGAAGTTTTACTTATGGCCAATTTTAAATGAGTTACACTTTTTAATTTCCTAAATAAAAATGTCTTTGGGACAAAGTTTTCCTGTGGATAGTTTTTGAGATACAGGGTGTTGAACGTGCGAAGTTTTATAATTTTCAAAAATATACTTTAAGACGTAAAAGTTGTTATTTTGCTGATATTTATAAATATTAGAAGTTACGGTTTGACTCTCTAAGATATTTATGACTACCAAAAATAACAAATCTTTTTGGAAATAATTAAAAGATGAGTAATATTTTAATTTGAAATAGAAAAACTACATATTCAAATAATCGTATTTTGAACAATATACCCTGTATATCGTAATATTTTTCAAACAAGTACACCATATCAACAAAATATGTAATTCGGATATCACATACAAGTTCAAGATACTTGGAACAGGTATTTACAGACGGGAAACTTTACTAGGCGAGGCTCTGACAGAAGGATACTGACCACTGAAACTGATGATCGCTTCGTCATTAATTAAAATTAACATCGTTTAATTAAAAAAAACGCAGCTCACAGAAGAAATGAGATAATAGGATGAATCAAAAAACAAAATGTTTGGAATATATCTGAGATTACAGAAAGTAGTATGTAAACAAAATTATCCGCCTCAATTTTGCTACAAGATGTTTTTGAAATTGCGACAAGAAGAATAATTTGATTTACCCCTGTATAATATTGCCTTAACAAAAGATGTTACCTATTAAAAAAACTTAAGAAAATAACAATAAATTTATCGAAAAACTGGTAGAAAATTCATAAAAATAGGATAACACATAAAAAAGTTGTGTAGCCTCAAACTCGGTAAAAATTTTAGGGTGACGGAATTTTGTGCGGGAGAGTGTACAAAAATTTGCCATTTTTACAAAACTCTAAAAAGACAGGCGCGTTTAAAAGGGGGGTAATAGGATAAATAACTCTCAGCCCCCCGATCTTCTTGAAAAATCTTAGATTGTATTAAATAAAATTGTAACCTAAACAATGAGATTTTACGAGCAAGCAAAACAACGAGATGAATTTTTGATTTTGTTAAAAATTCTTATTTTTTACATAGTTATATTTTAAATAAACTAATGAATCTATAATAAAATTATTTACTTCCACTCCAAAAAATCTTCCCAGGTCCACGCCTAGAGAGATAACTAATCTGTCAAATAAAGTGTGACTTTGATATGTTAAAATCTATCTTGACAAGTTAATCACCCTGTATCTCAAAAACTATCCACAGGAAAACTTTGTCTCAAAGACATTTTTAATTAGGAAATTAAAAAGTGTAACTCATTTAAAATTGGCCATAAGTAAAACTTCTAGGTCCTTTCTGAAGATAGAGAATAACAAGTAAAATAAAATAATTATAATAGTTCAACTAAAAGTTTAATGATGAATACATACATCATCAACATTTTTAAGATTCTACAGGGCGGAGAAAATATATATATTTTAAAATTTTTACTATAATTTAATATTTTTTGAGTAAATATACCCAAATTGTGTGAAAGTAAATGTTTTTGGATGATGCAAATAATTACCAGCTTGTTTGTTACATTACATGTACAGGGCGTTCTAAACTGGCGTGCCAATATAGTATTACTTCAGATTTTTCTAAGAATAGACATTTTTAAAACATGAATAATAATTTTGAAAAAGCAATCAATTTTGTTTTTAAAGAATATTTGCATGTCGTTGAAATGCATCATTTCAGGAAAAACTCAATTTAAAGATAGTACTGCAAATATTTTTCAAGCGCCTAACAAAACTATTTTAATCGTTTATAAAAAATAAGAGTGTATTTTATTGTGATTCGTTCATTTTGGGTAACCCTGTATTATAAAAACAAAGAGTGTATTTTATTGTGATTCATTCATTTTGGGTAACCCTGTATTATAAAAAATAAGAGTATATTTTATTATGATTCATTTATTTTGGGTAACCCTGTATTTAGATTAAATAAAGTTACAATGAAAGACGTAATTAACAATCTAAAAAATACAGTTTCAGAACCTTCGGTGATGTCCCGTTTCTTTGGCAAGATGAAACAATAAATACTGTTTTTTATTAAATAATTTAACCGAATCTGACCTCACGATTTATCAAGAAAAGGGGAAGACCCGCAGTTGCCAGCTACATTTATGTATAAAACTCGCTTAATTTTATTAAGATCTTCAGTTAACATTTTACCGTTATCTATGACTATTAAGTAATTAGAAAAAATATTTAAAATGAAGTTTTTCATTGTTATCATCAGTTTCGTTGCCTACTCAACAGCTGTACCAGTAGACATAGCTTTCTTGGAAGAAAAACAATTCAATGAACTAAAGTAAGATAATTTAATTTATATTATGCAGAGTATATCAAAAAACATTTGAATAATTTTAGTTTCAACTTTCAACAAAATATGAAATCTTAGAACATAATATTATTTTTTGTTTTAGCACAAAATGGGGCCTAAACCAAGACGGTTACGGAGCCAGCCACACGGGCAACATCTATGACAACGGTAGGAACGTGCTAGATGGCACCGTAAGCGCGTCCAAAGCGTGGCATTCACACGGGTTGGAACCCGATGTAGTCGGTGGCCGATTGGAATTTTCCAACAAACCTAGTGGATCGACAGCGTTTGTAGGAGCCGATAGAACCAGAGGCTTAGGAACAGACGTCAACGCTGGAGTTAAATATAATCTCGTGCAGGACAAGAATTTGAATGTGGATGTAAGTGGACAGTACGAAAGGCATTTCGGAGGTCCTGGTGGTACTGGAAAACCTGATGCTGGAGTATTTTTGAATGTTAACGGGCGTATTTAAATATTCTTCTGGAGTTGTTTAAACAAAGACTGATTTTTTTTTATAATAAATGTTGATATATATTTTTGTTGTTTGATTATAATTTATTATCATCTGAATTAGCTATAATATTTAGGTTTATTTTAGCAGTTAATATAAATGAAGCAGAAACGTAATAATATAAATTAAATTAGTACCTACTAATTAATGTACTTGTTTTGAAATAAACAGTATTCATTTATTAGTAGACAATAAAAATACAAATACAATAAAATTACAAAAAAATACAATAAAAAATGAACAAAAATTTGGTAAACTTTTCAAAAAGGTTTCAAATGATATAATATGTACAATTTACAATTTAAATACACAAAAAAGGCTAATAGTACGAGTTAATTCGGTATAGTTTCAGAATTTTTCCAAAAACCAAATTTGCAAATGTTACTGTGATGAAGTTGCAAATCACTTTGTTTTTGAAACTGCTGAAAACATTTTTGTAGTTAAAGTTCTTCATGAGACCCTGTATATTATTATCAGCCAGTTACAAAGTAGAATAACCAGTTTACATCAAATAGCTACTAACTTCTATATTTTCGATACATAAGTTCTGTTAAATTCTACTGATACAAGTGGCGGAAAATATTCGTGAAATGTATGAAAGAGAGATATTTCAGATACTTTCCAATCAATTATTATTAGCATTACGAAAATATTTTAGTGATGAACTTAAAAATATTAAATCAGTAAAAGATTTGGTTAAAATTATTATGGTTGACAAATATTCATTTAGTAGTAAGCTTTACCGAAATAATTATACTATTTTTTCTATCTTACAAGTCCCTGTGACAGTTGTATTGGCAGAACGATCGTTATCAAAATATATTAAGGAGCTCCATGAGTCAAAATTGATTATTGTTTCTGCTTTCCATAGAAAACATAGTTTTACCTATTCTGTACATTTGCTGGGAATTATTACATTTGAGGAGCAGACTTTCTAGATGAATTTTGTAATTTTGGAAAATAAAGAAAAACTGCTCCGCGTTTAGCAATAAATTAACCGAAAAATTGATATACTCAAAAAAATGGATAAAAAACCTTGTATTATACCTGTATGCGAAAAATCTAGCATTGATTATATCTCGAGTAACTCTGGAGTAACTCGAGAAAATACATTGTCAAGACTGTTGTTTTAATATAGGTATCAAAAGCATACTTCATTTGGCCCATTAAGTATCTCTCTATAACGATACTGGTCCAATTTTTTGGCTCACCCCGTATACTTATATTTTTTATAATGATAAACTGTTGATTACACATACCAACTTATGTAACCATATATAAATAATCCAATTATAATCATTATTTTTAAATATGTAGTTCTTCTATTTTAAAAAATTACTCACCCTATATAGTTATTTTCCAAAAACGTTATTGTATTTTGGTAGTCTTTTAATATAAATGAATATCAGCAAAACATTTTGCGTCTTAATATATTTTTGAAAATTATATTTCAAAAACTAGTCATAGGAAAACTCTGTGTCTATGGACACTTTTAATACGGAAAATGCTATAAGAAAACTGCGGGTTCCTTTATTCAGAAATTTTAGTATGAGATTTAAATTTTTAGAGATCAAAAAAACAAAATAAAATAATTAGAACAAAGGTTTAATCATGTATATAGAAATTTTTTTCTAAATAATTTTTAATAATTGTTTTGAAAAAAATTTGTACTTACATGATTAAACTTTTATTTTAACTAAAATAAATTAAATAAAACTCAAAACCATGTCACACAAATTATTATTAAATTTTTAATAAATTTAAATTTTTCATTGGAAGCGATTCTAGTTAGGTATATAAATAAATAATATTATAATTATTTTTAAAATTTTATTGTGTTAACATGTTTAACTTCATGTAATTTTAAGCATTTTTTATTATATTACAATTAGCACTGAATATGGCGAAAACCAGAAACACTCTGCTATACTAATTTTTACTAAAACGATTACACGAAAGGGGATAGAAAGACACTTACTCTACATTCCCCATTTTTTCACCAGATCTGGAGAAAAACGTAGAGCAGGTTTGACAACGTTGCACTGCCACGCACCCTTGTAAGTATTCATCGATATTTTCCTAAAAATAAGCTATATAATGGCAACACTGCATCGACGACTTCGTCTCGATTACTGCTCATTATCAACGATCGACATCAGGTGCTACAATATTTCCATTATTTAACATAAGGAAATATTAAGGAGGAATTGCAAAGATTCGTTGCAGTGCGACGTTACCAAATCTACTGTACGCTTTCCCTCAGATTTGGAAAAAAAATGCTTTTCTATCTACTTACAAAATATTCTCTTTACCTATAAATAACCATCGTTTATACAACCAAAAACTAACAATTTAAAATTAAAACCCTGTTTTGTCCATTTACAAAAACTAATAGTTTATTTTAATTTGTTTCAATCTTTTTGAGTAACCCTGTATCCAGATTTAACATAGTTATAATGGAAGACGTAATTATCTATCTAAAAGAAACATCGGTGAAGTCCCGTTTCTTTGGCTGCCTAAAACAATCATTATCTTTATTTAATTTGATCATTTATCACAAACTGACCTGTGGATTTATCAAGAAAAGGGGAAGACCCGTAATTGCCAATTGCATTTATGTATAAAACTTGCTTAACTTTCATTAAAATCTTCAGTTACTATTTTAGCAATCTTTAAAGTTATTAAGTAATAAAAATATATTTAAAATAAAATTATTCATTTTTGTTATCATCAGTTTCGTTGCCTACTCAACAGCTTTACCAATAGATGGTGCTGTCGACGAAGAAGAATATCTTTTAGTTCCTGTACATAGAGAAAGAAGGTAAGTTAATTTAAGTTATATTGTACAGGGTACACAAAAAAAATATTTGAATCAATTTAGTTGCAAAGAAATATGAAATTTCATTTCATAATTATATTTTTTATTGTAGACAAACAAAATGGGGCCTAAACCAATCGGGTTACGGAGCCAGCCATACGGGTAATATCTACAACAACGGGAGAAATGGAGTAACTGGCACCGTCAGCGCGTCCAAAGCGTGGAATTCACACGGGCTCAAACCCGATGTGGTCGGTGGCAGATTGGACTTTACCAACAAACCGACTGGATCGGGAGCATTCATAGGAGCAGACAGAACAAGGGGTTTTGGAACAGATGTCAACGCTGGAGCTAAATATAATTTCCTGCAAAAGAAGAATTGGAGCGGGGATGTAAGTGGTCAGTACGGAAGGCATTTCGGTGGTCCTGGTGGTACTGGAAAACCCAATGCTGGAGTATTTTTGAATGTTAATGGACGTTTCTGATTGTTAATGGACGCTTCTGAATGTTTTTTTAAATTATTTACACAATGACTGATTTTTTTAATAAAAGTTTATATATATTTATGTCGTTTGTTTTTAAATGTTCGATGCCTGTCGTTAAATAAAAGTATCGCCACCCATGTGTATAAGCTGTTTTATGTTCTTTTTGTTATTGTTGATTGTCAATGCGTTTTTACTAATCTTACGTCGTTTTGGATAATATATTAAAGTACATTTTTTCCCCAATCGTTTTATATACAGTCCATTTAATCGAGCTCAACCCGCAGCGGCATATTAAATGTTTTAATAATATACGAATTAGCTATAACAATGCCTCTCAATTTTTAACCCTATTTACTTAGAAACAATCAATAAAAGTTTATAGTTTTCTAAAACCAGCTAAGACGGTTGCCTAGGGTTGCCAGTTCTACTGTTTTAACAGCAGATTTACTGTTTTTATCAATTTTCTCATGTTCTATTGTTTTAAGTTCATAATCTACTATAATCTACTACCCAAACAATAAAAAAAATGTATATGGAAATGATTTCTGGTTATTTCTTAACTACCAAACACAGAGCAGTTGTATTGTCTGAATCTGATTCAAATTGATTGGTTATTTGTTTTTTTTTTAAGAAGCTATGAGTTTATTTTGATAAAGTTTGAGTCACTGAACTTCATTTTAAACTTAAAAAGCTGTCCCTCTAAACAATATCCTAATCAAAGCTGGAGTTCCCTAGGGCAAGCGTGCTACGGCCTATTTTGTATTTGATTTATTTACAAGCCACAATAACTACTGTAGCCACATATGCGAATGATAGGTACTTTAATACTACATGACAAGTATTCCAGAATAACATCAAACAGAATATAAACTGGCGCATCAAAGCTAACAAAAGTAAATTGGTACACGTAATCTTCACAAATCGAAAAGGCAACTGCTCGCCCCTGTCAGCAAATCGGAACAACTAACACACTAAAGATTTATTGTATTTTTATTATACTTTTATTGTATTTTTATTGTATTTTTATTGTATTTTTATTGTATTTTTATTGTATTTTTTATTGTATTTTTATTGTATTTTATTGTATTTTTATGTATTTTTAATTGTATTTTTATTGTATTTTTATTGTATTTTTATTGTATTTTTATTGTATTTTTATTGTATTTTTATTGTATTTTTATTGTATTTTTATTGTATTTTTATTGTATTTTTATTGTATTTTTGTATTTTTATTGTATTTTTATTGTATTTTTATTGTATTTTTATTGTATTTTTATTGTATTTTTTATTGTATTTTTATTGTATTTTTATTGTATTTTTATTGTATTTTTATTGTATTTTTATTGTATTTTTATTGTATTTTTATTGTATTTTTATTGTATTTTTATTGTTATTTTTATTGTATTTTTAATTGTATTTTTATTGTATTTTTATTGTATTTTTATTGTATTTTTATTGTATTTTTATTGTATTTTATTGTATTTTTATTGTATTTTTATTGTTTTTATTGTATTTTTATTGTATTTTTATTGTATTTTTATTGTAATTTTATTGTATTTTTATTGTATTTTTAATTGTATTTTTTATTGTATTTTTATTGTATTTTTATTGTATTTTTTATTGTATTTTTATTGTATTTTTATTGTATTTTTATTGTATTTATTTTGTATTTTTATTGTATTTTTATTGTATTTTTATTGTATTTTTATTGTATTTTTATTGTATTTTTATTGTATTTTTATTGTATTTTATTGTATTTTTATTGTATTTTTATTGTATTTTATTGTATTTTTATTGTATTTTTATTGTATTTTTATTGTATTTTTATTGTATTTTTATTGTATTTTTATTGTATTTTTATTGTATTTTTATTGTATTTTTTATTGTATTTTTTATTGTATTTTTATTGTATTTTTATTGTATTTTTTTATTGTATTTTTATTGTATTTTTATTGTATTTTTATTGTATTTTTATTGTATTTTTATTGTATTTTTATTGTATTTTTATTGTATTTTTATTGTATTTTTATTGTATTTTATTTTATTTATTGTATTTTATTGTATTTTTATTGTATTTTTATTGTATTTTTATTGTATTTTTATTGTATTTTTATTGTATTTTTATTGTATTTTTATTGTATTTTTATTGTATTTTTATTGTATTTTTATTGTATTTTTATTGTATTTTTATTGTATTTTTATTGTATTTTTATTGTATTTTTATTGTATTTTTATTGTATTTTTATTGTATTTTTATTGTATTTTTATTGTATTTTTATTGTATTTTTATTGTATTTTTATTGTATTTTTATTGTATTTTTATTGTATTTTTATTGTATTTTTATTGTATTTTTATTGTATTTTTATTGTATTTTTATTGTATTTTTTATTGTATTTTTATTGTATTTTTATTGTATTTTTATTGTATTTTTATTGTATTTTTATTGTATTTTTATTGTATTTTATTGTATTTTTATTGTATTTTTATTGTATTTTTATTGTATTTTTATTGTATTTTTATTGTATTTTTATTGTATTTTTATTGTATTTTATTGTATTTTTATTGTATTTTTATTGTATTTTTATTGTATTTTTTATTGTATTTTTATTGTATTTTTATTGTATTTTTATTGTATTTTTATTGTATTTTTATTGTATTTTTATTGTATTTTTATTGTATTTTTATTGTATTTTTATTGTATTTTTATTGTATTTTTATTGTATTTTTATTGTATTTTTATTGTATTTTTATTGTATTTTTATTGTATTTTTATTGTATTTTTATTGTATTTTTATTGTATTTTTATTGTATTTTTATTGTATTTTTATTGTATTTTTATTGTATTTTTATTGTATTTTTATTGTATTTTTATTGTATTTTTATTGTATTTTTATTGTATTTTTATTGTATTTTTATTGTATTTTTATTGTATTTTTATTGTATTTTTATTGTATTTTTATTGTATTTTTATTGTATTTTATTGTATTTTTATTGTATTTTTATTGTATTTTTATTGTATTTTTATTGTATTTTTATTGTATTTTTATTGTATTTTTATTGTATTTTTTATTGTATTTTTATTGTATTTTTATTGTATTTTTATTGTATTTTTATTGTATTTTTATTGTATTTTTATTGTATTTTTATTGTATTTTTATTGTAATTTTTATTGTATTTTTATTGTATTTTTATTGTATTTTTATTGTATTTTTATTGTATTTTTATTGTATTTTTATTGTATTTTATTGTATTTTTATTGTACTTTTTATTGTATTTTTATTGTATTTTTATTGTATTTTTATTGTATTTTTATTGTATTTTTATTGTATTTTTATTGTATTTTTATTGTATTTTTATTGTATTTTTATTGTATTTTTATTGTATTTTTATTGTATTTTTATTGTATTTTTTATTGTATTTTTATTGTATTTTTATTGTATTTTTATTGTATTTTTATTGTATTTTTATTGTATTTTTATTGTATTTTTATTGTATTTTTATTGTATTTTTATTGTATTTTTATTGTATTTTTATTGTATTTTTATTGTATTTTTTATTGTATTTTTATTGTATTTTTATTGTATTTTTATTGTATTTTTATTGTATTTTTATTGTATTTTATTGTATTTTTATTGTATTTTTTGTTGTATTTTTATTGTATGTTTATTTAATCTTTATTTTATTTTTATTGCCTACTAATCACTGGTTTCATCTATATTTTATTCTATAAATAAACTTTATTATTATAGTTAATTCAAATGAAAATAATTAAAAAAATATAAATATGTACATTTATTACAAAAATAAAATCAGTCTTTGTATAATCAACCTAAAAAATAACACAATCAGATACGCCCGTTAACATTCAAAAATACTCCAGCATCGGGTTTTCCAGTACCACCAGGACCTCCGAAATGCCTTTCGTACTGTCCACTTACGTCCACATTAAAATTCTTGTCCTGCACGAGATTATATTTAACTCCAGCATTGACGTCTGTTCCTAAACCTCTGATTCTATCGGCTCCTACAAACGCTGTCGATCCACTAGGTTTGTTGGAAAATTCCAATCGGCCACCGACTACATCGGGTTCCAACCCGTGTGAATGCCACCCTTTGGACGCGCTGACGGTGCCATCTAGCACGTTCCTCCCGTTGTCATAGATGTTGCCCGTGTGACTGGCTCCGTAACCGTCTTGGTTTAGGCCCCATTTTGTGCTGAAACAAAAAATATTGTTATGTTCTGAGATTTCATATTTTGTTGAAAGTTGAAACTAAAATGATTCAAATATTTTTTGCTATACTCTGTATAATATAACTTAAATTATCTTACTTTAGTTCATTAAATTGTTTTTCTTCCAAGAAAGCTATGTCTACTGGTACAGCTGTTGAGTAGGCAACGAAACTGATGATAGCAACAATAAAAAATTTCATTTTAAATATTTTTTTCTAATTACTTAATAGTCTTAAATAACGGTAAAATGTTAACTGAAGATCTTAATAAAATTAAGCGAGTTTTATACATAAATGTAGCTGGCAACTGCGGGTCTTCCCCTTTTCTTGATAAATCCTGAGGTCAGATTCGGATAAATTATTTGATAAAAAACAATATTTATTGTTTCAGCTTGCAAAAAAAACGGGACATTACCGAAGGTTCTGAAACTGTATTTTTTAGATTGTTAATTACGTCTTTCATTGTAACTTTATTTAACCTAAATACAGGGTTACCCAAAATGAATGAATCATAATAAAATACACTCTTATTTTTTATAAACGATTAAAATGGTTTTGTTAGGGTTGGAAAATATTTGCAGTACTATCTGTAAATTGAATTTTCCTTGAAATGATGCATTTCAACGACAATCTCTATTCTTATAAAAAATCTGAATACTATATTGGCACGCCAGTTTAGAATGCCCAGTAGATGTAATGTAACAAACAAGCTGGTAATCGTTTGTATCGTCCAAAAAAACTTACTTTCGCACAATTTGGGTATATTTAC